ATCCCCCTCTTGACATGACACTTTCCGTTTGATGATTTAATTTTTGATAATAAGTTAGTGTGGTCACAATTCATGACATTCAACTGTAATAAGTCATGTTATGATGGATTTTAGGTGTGTGTGTGTGTGGGTGGGTGGGTGGGTAGGGGGGGGGGTATCACTCTCAAACTTGAACACTTAAATATGCAATATGTAACAACTAAATATGTAAACCTAGATAAATTTTAAAAAATCTTACATATAATAAAGCTATATGGTTGGGAAATAATTAATGTTATAATTAATTACCAACATTTTTATTATTACTAGCTATAAATATAAAATAGCCACAACATCTCTTACTAAAAAAAAAAAAAAAAAAAAAAAAAGAAGCACAACATTTGAAAAATAAAATAACTATTTTTTTCTCGCCCATAACAAAGGATTACATTTATTGAATTAATGGAGTTATTAAATGTTATGATATTAGGATTAAGGATTCCGATTCTCGATTATTAGAAAATATGAAACGATACAATATTAGTTAAATCTCTGGTTTTACAATGAAAGTCTATTTGATATGCTTTTGTTATTTATGGTGGTTCTTGGGATTACAATATTAATTAAATTTTTTATGAAAGCCTATTCAATATCTAAAACAGTGCAATTAATGTAAGCCTCTACATATAATTTTTCTCCATCTCAAATGCTTCAAAGAAATGGCAGAAGCGAGAAGGGATGAAGAAAGCAAATGTTGCGGGCCGTGGGTCAATTATTGGACTTCATAATTAAAAAAATCATTTAAGCCATAAATAAAAATTTAAATATATATAAATGTATATATCGTATGGGTCTTTAATGTTTTTCTGGATGTCTAAACTTATGACTTTTAAAAGAAAAAAAAAATACATTTGAATTCTTCCAAAGATTTAAAGGCTGAACCCCAACCCTAAAAAATACATTTGAATTATCTCAACAAAAAATGGTCTTGGACTTATAAAATGACATTTGAGTTTATGGAATGCCATGTGCATAAAGAATATATTATATAATCATATAAAAAAATGTGTTCAATTAGAGTTTAAATTTACTCATACAAAATTTGAAATTTGCTTTCTAAATGTAATTATCTTAGTTATTATTCGTATTGTGAAAATTATAATATAGATGAAATACAATTAAGAATAAATCAATGTAATTATGAAAATTCCCTCTATAAGTTTATTTGAATATGTACATAATTAGAGATTATATTAACCCTACCAAATTTTAATTATAATTTTGTATTCAATAAAAATAATAAATACTTGACCAATGGAAGCTCAAAAATATTATTATATTAAACAATTTAAAATATTTTTATTTTTCTAATTTTTTTATTTATATTTATAATAACATTCCCCGTGCATCGCGCGGGTGAATTACTAGTTAACGAAAAAAGCTAAATTTTAAATATAAATCGTAAATGCTAGACCCTAAGCAGTCAGAAATGAAACGCTAAACTAAATAAAACAAAAAACTCAGTTATACATTCTAAAATAAAAACGTTAAGTGCAATGCACTTTCACATTTTTACAAGTGCAATAATTTAATACTATGAACAAAATCTTTATATACTCTATGACTCATATTATTCTGTTTTACCATACTCTTTGTTAAACATGTACAAATTCAACATGCCATTTGAGATTGTGAGCTATTAAAATTGTGGTCCACCTATTTATGAGATAAATAGAGATGAAGAAAAGATGTATACATAATTTAAATACGAAAGTGCAGAAAGACAAATTATAAATTACAATTCAATTCAAGGAGAAAAATAAAATTTCATCTTGTACTAACTATCAACTTCATTGAGACTCGTACATTTCATTCGTTGCCATAAAATTTTGTTTTTAAAATCTATCCCTATGCAACTAGGAGTACCAGCAAATTTGGCCAACTTTTAAAGATCTCTGGTGGTACCGATTTGGTTTATATATATTTTTTTCTAATAATATATTTTGAGTTGCAATGTGTGTTATGATTATATTATATTTATTGATTGAATAGTTTTTAATATAATCTCATTATAATTTAATTATATAAAGTTACGTCATATAATACATTTTTTAATTAATATTGGTCATTAATTTAAGAGGAAATTAATTAATATTGGTCATTAATTTAAGAGGAAATAATATATTTGGCTATTGAGTATTTGAGTTATATATCTCTTGTATAGACCTAATCCCTTTATGCATTATTGATATGTTAATTATTCCCGAAGAAGTAATTTGACCATTTCCAATTTGTAGTAAGTTTATTTAACAAATTTAGAGTTCCAACATTGTGGTGATTATAGGATTTATAGTGTAGCCTAACTAACCTAATAATCAAAATAGTAGGCCTAAGAAATCAACATTTTGGAGAGCCAGTTTGATCCAAACTAGTTGAGAAATTAAGCTGGTTGGATGAGCCAAGTTACACTGCATGAATCATAATAGGGCGATTTTATTAATCATTAACTGAACTAAAATTTTTATTTTTTTTATTATTAATCAATCATTTAATTTAGTTAACCAAATTTTTGTTTCGAATTAACGATTAACTAAAATTCTTAAAATATTTAATCATTAATCGAACCAAAATATTTCGGTTAAAAATAGTTAATCAAATTTTGTCAATTTGGTTGAATAATCGATTTTTCACCAAATTATGCACATCTCTAGTGCCACCTAACTGAACAGGTATGTCCACAAACTATATATAACAATGTCAATCCTATTTGCAACTTGTTATTATGGTATAAATAAATGAGTTTTACAATAAATATATCTTTGACTCCATTCATTATCCATGAGTATCTTAATTTCACTATGCACCTCGCTACACTTTATAATAGTTTAGAATTGATTGAAACTGTCTGATCTCCTTGTATTTCTTCTTTTTTCAGTGCTTAATATATCGTTATCCGTTTTTTTATTTCTAAGTATTCTTCCGGTCACACTATAGATGCGTTATTATGCCTCAATATTATTTAATTATTTAATATATCAATAAGAAATTGTTTACTCTTTAATATGTTACTGTTTATTTTGATCAGCAACGGAAACTCGAATATTTAGCTTCAATATAATTTTTGCTATTGATGGAGTGAAAATAAAATCAAATTTTCATGTTTATCTCTATCACTATGTATTTTTGCGCACAATGTGCGAAGGCTTGAGCTCAATTTTAAAATTTATAAAAATATTGAAGAATATATGCAAAAAAATTATTAAGAAAAATATTTTAAATATATTATTTTTAATCCATCAAAGTTATATACTTATATACATGTAAAAATCCTATATTTTGAAAACAAATACAATTGTAAATATCATAAATTAATTATTATCGTGTTATTTTGTTTATGATGACAAATTAAGAGAAAAGTGTTACATAGACCACTGAACTTTATTTAAAAAGTCAATTAGACCCTTAAATAATTTTTTAAAAACTGCAATTAAACCAATAAACATGCTATTTTGAAACATTGAAGTCCAAAAATCATTTGGTAACCTATAATTACAAGTTACATATGGTTTCGACGACCCTTCCACTATTTTCCTACCAATTCGGTTGCGTTTGGAGGAGGCAACCGAATTGGTCGCTTGCTCCAATTGCCGAAGAAGGCGACCAACTTGGTCACCTCATCCAAACGCGATAAGCGGCCATCTGGTCGTTGATGATTGTTGTCGAAAAATTGTGGAAGGGTTGACAAAATCCTAGGTAACCTGTAATTATAGGTTACCAACCGATTTCTGAGCTTCAATGCTTCAAAATAACATGTTTATGAGTTTAATTGCAATTTTTGAAAATTTAATATCTTAATTAACTTTTTGAGTAAAGTTAATGAACCTGTTTGACCCTATTTCCAAAAAATAATAATAATAATTCAAAAATGTAAACCAAAGTATTGAGATAAAATTAATATAATGGCTAACAAATATGAAATGATTAATTAGGTTATCGTGATATTTGTTATAATTAGTTTTAATTTATGTAATACAATGACCAATAAATATACTTTAATTAGTTTTAACAAAAACAAATGAAATTATTATATTTAAGCGGGTGATTTTTTCAAGCTAAAATGTATGGAGTAACATTTTAATCATATACTACATTGTAACAAAATCGTGCTAAAAAAAACAAGGGTCCACACATAATATTTGTAGATTTAAACTTATTTTATTTTTTAATATAAATTTCATACAAGGAGAATATTAATAAAAGACCAAAAGCTTTACTTCAATAATTATTGAGAGACAAAAAATAGACAAAATAATAATAATAATAATAATAGAGAATGAGTTTATACTTTGATTTACAGGAAAGGCTCACAATCACTATCCAAATGTGTACTTCAAACAAAATTCGCATTGTGACCTTAATCGACAAAGGAAATAAGAAAATAAACAAATTTAATTTGTCTACATACTCAAATTGAGAAGGTCAATAAAACAATCTCATTTTATATAATTGTTCTATCGTGCACCAGGGCGCATAATGCATTGTGCGTCTTAAAAATTCACTGTTTCGTATGTATATAATTATAGAGTAGAATACACATAAACTCCTAACATAATACACATAATCTTAACCTAATACATAATACACGTAAACTCTTAACATAATATACATAAACTCTTAATATAATACATATAAATTTTTAGAGTGCACAATGCATTGTGGATCTTGTGCACGATATAATTTGCCCATTTTATACTCGAGATATAAGATAAAATTGGCCAATTTTCCAATTGCCAAACTGTAATGACACTTAAAAGCCGGCAAAGAAAAAAAGAATTAGAAAAAAGAAACAATAAGGTTGGGAGTAAAGGAGTATAAAATACATGGACAAAACGGCTCTTCCAAGTTCCAAGCTTTGTCATACGTCCGGACTGCAGTTTCAACCCTCTCTCTCTTCCTCTCTGGTTAATGGTTATGCATGCCCATACATACACACACACACACACACACACACACACACAAGAATATATGTAGAAATTCTATCATAAGACACAGCACATGAAAACATTATTCCTGCATTTTCTTTGATACTTCTTCATCAATGGCGGGTCTTTTCACTCTGAGACTGAGACCCAGACCCACCTCATCATTATCTTCCTCCCAGTCATCTTCCACCGCCTTGGCTTCTCGCCTTCTCTTATTCCTCACTCTTCTCTCCGTGTGCCTCGCCGCCTATGCATTCATGCTGCAATGGAGGGGCGGGTTGTCTGACCCGACAACCCAGTGGCTACCCTTCGATGATCACCTCGTCTTCACCCAAATGGGCATGTCCAGGCCCGCTCGCCGCTCTTCTTCCTCTGACTGCGACGGAATTCTCACCCCGACCCGGACGCTGTCGTTTCCTTACTTCAGGGATTGGAAATTCAACGTCGGGTCATCTTCCGCCCCGGATATTCGCCCCAAGGTTGCTCTTGCATTGCCGTTTCTTCAGCTTTCTTGAATTGATTTTTGATCTTGTGTAGGTTTTGATCACTTTTAACGTAAATTATGTGTTAAGTCATATATTTCTATGTATAGAATTTGGATTGATTTTTCGAGGGCTCATACTTGATGCCATAAAAATTCTGTCTTTTTTCTTTCTTTTTCATTTTACAGATCATTAGAGAAGCATGAATTGGGAATGCCGTCGGCTCTGTTGTATTTTTTCTCTTGTTTTTTTAGGCATTTCTTGTTGATTTTACATAATGTACTAATTTCATGCCACTATACATATTTGGTTAAAACAAAGCTGGAACTTTGTCTGTTGCATCATAGATTGATGACGCTTATAATTACTCATCTCTGGGGTCCACTCGAATTCTTGGCTTTCTACATAACTTTTGAAAGTTTTGGTAGCTTTTTGGTTATGACAACAGGCTTGCTAATTTTGGGTTAGATGAGTTGTTGTGTAATTTGTTTAAAAATCATTTCCTTTTCCCGGGGCGATGTATCAATGAATTTGTCCGTGTCAGGAAATCTTCTGTTCACTATGAATTTTGTTGTCAGGTATGCATCACTACGAGCACGTCTGCTGGCTTGGAGCAAACACTGCCCTGGATATATTATCATAAGGTTATTGGTGTTACGAGTTTTTTCCTGTTTGTGGAGGGCAAAGCTGCATCTCCCCATGTATCCAAAGTCCTAGAATCTATCCCGGTGAGTGTGAAATCTTAGCTCTCTAAAACATGCCATTCTGCCATGTTAATCTTAATGTTTCTGCTTCAATGTGTAAAGTTCTGTTCATGTCTACTTGACTTTGAAAAATTGCTCCACTTTTTGCAGGGAGTAAATGTCATATATAGAACAAGAAAACTACAGGAACAACAAGAAAAAAGGTTTAATTTGATTCTCTATTTGCGTTTACACGTATCATAAACTTGTGCTTTGTAATTTCATGATCAATACGGGTAAACCTCGCCTTGTGACCCTAGCCGGCTCCAAGAAAGCCAATAGGCCACTCCTGTTGGGAGTCGAACTTATAACATTCTGGTTACCAAGTCAACAGCTTAACCAACTTGGCTAGGGTTGCCTCCATCATGGTCAATACTTTTGTTTCTTTAATACATGGTAGTTGGTTACCTTTTAATTTCTCTATATGTTAGAAAGAATTAGTGTACACATTAGACCTTTTGGGCACTGAAACGAAAGGTTTCATTTCCTAGTTCTTCTTCATAATGAAACATTATGTGCTTCATAGATCATGCCACAAATCTCTACTAGTATTTATTCAAATTATTGATATATTCCTTTTGTTGGTTTTAGCCGGATTTGGAATGAAAGTTGGTTGTCGGGCTTTTTCTACAAACCTTGCAACTACGAGCTGTTTGTCAAGCAGTCCCTGAATATGGAAATGGCTATTGTCATGGCTAGGGTATGGTCATATGATTTTCTTAAGAATTTTGTTTAGATTTATTGCTTAATTTGATCTTGAGTTGAAGTTATTTTCCTCGTAAATCTATAAAGGAGGCCAATATGGATTGGATATTCCATTTGGACACAGATGAGCTAATATATCCGTCTGGAACACGTGAATTTTCTGTGCGAGAGCTCCTGTCAGCTATCCCTGCTGATACCGATCTTGTTATATTTCCAAATTACGTAAGTAAATTGCATGCTCTAACGTTTTTATTATTGCTTGTGGTTGATCTCTTAGCTAATGAGAGAAAGCTTTTCAGGAGAGCAGTGTCGAGAGGGACAATATAAAGGAACCATTTAGTGAAGTAAGAGTTCTTTCATTCATTTTCTCTCACTCGAGGTTTTATGCTATTTTCCTCTAGTACAAAATCATATTTTCTTCTTTTGGGCTGTATGCATCGACAGGTATCAATGTTCAAGAAGAATTTCGACCACCTTACAAAGGAAACATATTTTGGAAATTACAGGGAAGCAACCCACGGTAACCCGAATTACTTTTTGACTTATGGAAATGGGAAATCGGCTGCTCGTATCAAAGATCATCTTCGTCCTAATGGCGCTCACAGATGGCACAACTATAAGAAGATGCCGGTGTATGTTGATTCTTCAAAATTATATATTGATTATATATATCATATGCACTACTATACGATTTTCTTCCATTTAAATCGGACCTATCTGATAGTCTTCATTTGCTAATTATCTGAGATAGTCTTGGTAATATGTCGGTTTGCTTCATCTTGTAGTGAGGTGAAATTGGACGAGGCAGCTATTCTGCACTACACTTATTCCAAGTTCTCAGATTTGACCTCGAGACGAGATCGTTGTGGTTGTAAGCCTACGAAGGAAGATGTTAAAAGATGCTTCATGCTTGAATTTGACCGAGACGTAAGTTGTAGTGAATCATGTTTATATAGGCTATGATGCTACAGAGAACTCTTTCTATTCAAATTTGGATCCTTTACTTGTTTTATATTACAGGCATTTATAATAGCTTCGACTGCAACGGAAGAGGAAATGCGTTACTGGTAAATGATCATAACTATGTTTCTTCACTATCACGTTTCTAAATTAATCCATGGCTGAAGAAGTTTGGGTCCGTTTCCCGTTTTGACTGATCGAGATCACTGTATCAGGTTTACAGTTACCCGGTTAATACAATTGAAACATGTGCTCCATCTCGACTAAAAGCCTAAGCTGATAGTTGGATTGCACATTAATGGCTATATGCTCAACAAATACCCGGTGACGTTTAAGCTATCATATGATGAGCTGCAAATTCCTGATTTGCGTGATATCCTGTCTATATATCATATGAGATATAATTTCAAGATCACACACACACACACTTTTACATTTTGGATTTCTCCCTTTTAGGTACAATGAGCATGTTGTTTGGGCAAATGAAGAAGTTAAGCGTAAACTTGTAAAAAAGGGCATTTTGACACGAATATATGCTCCCATGGTAAGATCACACGTAAATTTCCAGGAGTCAATAGTTAGGCTGCTCGGGTCATTTATCCACGTCTAAATAGGAATGCGGGATCAATCTCTAACTGCCATTTATAAAATTGGTGCGACAGGTTATAATTCAGAACTTGAGAGAGTCTGGGGTTTTCAGTTCTGTGATTGCAGAGGCCCAGGGAGACATTGTGAAAGAATCTTTGTTGTCTACTGAGAAAAATGTGTCTGGAAATATGGGATCCAGGAAAATTGGCCATAGATTGGAATCTCAGGCAACTGCAAGGAAAGCTCTGGTTTTTGGAGAATCTGAATCTGAATTTGAATTTGGTGCAGTTCCACCAGAGTCACCTCCCACCATGGATGACATTCTTCTCCTTGACATATAGTTTTCTGGATTTGGAAAAAATACAACACTGAAGTGTGAAGAGTGTACATTTAATTTTACAGATTTTCAGGCTTAGATTATAGTCTTATTAGTGAGGTATAGACAAGTGTTCTAATTCGGGGCTTTACTATACACATTCTGCTTACACAGCACTTAGTGATCATACCATTTCTACATTTTTCCTTGTGAAAATTAATATATTTCACGCCAATTTCATAGTAAACCAAAGTTTTAAATCATGTTAATTTTTCGAAGGAAATACTATGTGTTCTCTTATTTTCTACTTTCAATTTTCACTTTCACACACAAAATCTCAATGTATACTTTTGTATTGAGACCCACATAAAAATAAGTAATTTATCATAGTCTATTACATCAGAGAGTAAGATTTGAGAGTTACAATAATTTGAGGAATACTGGGTAAAATTTGAAAAAAGAACCGGAATGATGGGAAGAAATGGCGGGAACATTTGGCGCCACTCCGATTTTTCTGGGCAAATCCTCCTACATAAAGAGGACGACTCTTATTATGGATTCATTTCCACGTCTCTGCAAACCCTAATTCCACTACTACTCTGCTCTTCAGCCACCCTCCCTCACGCACGAACAGTAATGGCCGAAAACAACTCTCCAGAGGCAGAGGTGGGAGAGCCGACGCCCAAGATTCCGAAGCTCGACCACCATCAAAACGGTGCCGTTGCAGGATCCTCATATTTCAGAGTCAAGAAGCTCTCTGAGAAAGCCGTCTTGCCCTCTAGAGGTTCACCTCTCTCCGCTGGCTACGATCTCTCCAGGTTCGTATTTTAAGTTAAAAATCTCTCGGATTTCAATTCAATTCTTCTGATTTTAAAATCTGATTTCAATTCAATTATTCTGATTTTACAGTGCTGCTGATACTAAGGTCCCTGGTAGGAGCAAGGCCTTGATTCCCACCGACCTCAGTATCGCCGTATCGCCGGGAACCTATGCTCGTATTGGTAAATCAATCTCATAAAGTTAAACATTTTCTATCATCGGAAACTGGATTATTTATAAAACATGAGAATACTGATTTGTTTTGTTTTGTTTGGGAATGATAGCGCCGCGATCTGGATTGGCGTGGAAGCACTCAATAGACGTGGGAGCAGGCGTGATTGATGCCGATTACAGAGGACCTGTTGGGGTGATATTGTTCAACCATTCTGATGCTGATTTTGAAGTCAAGGTGGGTGATAGAATTGCACAGCTCATCATTGAGAAGATTGTAACGCCGGAGGTTGAGGAGGTTGACGATCTTGATTCCACCGTTAGGGGATCCGGCGGCTTTGGATCCACCGGAGTTTAATGCTATGCTAGTAGCCTAGTAGTACTAATAATAATGTCTGTCAAACTATCACAACTATTGAATATCTTTTCCGGAATGTAATGGGAGACGATGGAGTTTTTCTATATATGAATGAAGGTAAAAAGTTATCCATCGTGAAGAAAATGAAACTCAGAATTGCATAAACTTGCATTGATGAGGACAGACCAAGCAATCTATAGCCATTTTGGCAAAACCAAGATGTTCATACTTTCATACATGGATGATGAAGAATTGAAGATAATAAGATGTCCTCTTATATAACTAGGATCAAAATGACAAAATCTCAAAACCAAAATTGCTAATATAGGGGGCAATAGCATGCATGCCTGCCTACGTCGAGACGCTCCAAAAAATTTGTATGAAGAAGATATAAAGAAATAAGAATATTTACTACTCCGTATTCACATAACTGGTTTCTTCCAGCTCCACGCTTGTCCAGTTTTTACCCAAGCATGGTGACTGGCATGTCCAAAATTGTTGGCGTCGGTCCACTCCCTTGAAGGACATCTTTTGCCTTTTCCGTTCCTATGATGCTCATTCCAAGAGTTTTTATACTTGGGGGGTATATATCTACCTCCATTACCTCTCTTAATGTCTGAAAAGCTGTTGTAATGAGCAATTCCCGCTTTCAAATCAGTACAATTTTCTTTCTGTCCCCATTCCCTCGACTCATCCCAATCACCTGCACATCCATTGCCCTTTCCTGAACCCCAATTTCTACCTTCTGAATTTTCAAATGTTTCCGTCTGATAATCACTGTTCCAACCGGATCCCCATCCGGTGTCTCCTGTGATAACACCATCTTTTTCCAGGTTTTGAGAATCTTCTTTTCGCTGTTCACCTCCCCACCCAGTGTATCCCATGACCCCTTCGTCTTCTTCCAAGCCCCATTCTCCATTCCATCCACTTTGTTTTGTAGTCTCGTTATTCTTCCACCCGTGCTCCCACTGATCTTCATGATTATTCAAAGAGGAATTAGTAGCTTTTCTAAAGTTCTCTTCTTCACCCCAACCAAAGGCTGAGAATGCATTGTTCGGGATGAGGGCATCGCCAAAAATGATCACCGGATCATGTTTTTCATCTGGACCAGTGTCCGCAGGTTTGCAATCAAGGTCCAACAGCATATCGGGATCAACTTTGCAATCCCAGTCTATTTCATCTATATAAAGATCAGGATCGGGCAAAGATATGTCACATGGAATGCCATGTAGTTGTGACCAGAATCGATTCTTCGCATTTTGAAATGCCTCTTCACCGGCAGATGAATCCCACTTTACCACATTGTCAAAGAGGAATGCGAACTTCTTCATCTCCAATACACTTTCCCAATCTAATAAACCAACAACTTTGCAGAATGATTTCTCCCATGAAGGTACAGTTCGTTGCCAGCTACCTGAAAAAAAAAAGTGTATATAAGCTTACCACTCAAAAAACATTATTAAAGAGAGAAAATACAGCAAATCACTACAATATATAAATGCCTTTAATGTACTATGACAACAACTATGTGATGGAAGTAAAGGGCAGAAGTAACAAAATATACAGATAGAGGAATGTTCTCAAGTATGGCTTTCTGCCTGCAAATTCAATGACATTCCCCACCCCACAGTTTTACGTTAAATCTCATCAATTGACATTGCAATTCTGAAATTAAACTTTAAATTCTTTGTCAAAATCATATTATCATCATCAAAACTTACAAAACGCATTCAAAACCCCCAATTCACTACCTTGATCACATACTTATGAAAAGACAGGCATGACCCATTCATGTAGCATATGAACCAGGCCAATTTACTGCTCTTGAAATTCAAGTAATAAGAATGACACAGAAGAATGCGACTTCAAGAACATTTCTGGTCACCTCTATGTTATGGAGAAGCCATTTGAGGAGACTTTAGAGTTGAATTTACAGAAGATGATTCCAAAATCCAAACCACTACTCTCTACTTTTGCAAATGGGTTTCAGAAACACTACTTTAATTAGTGTTCACTAAAAAAATATTAAGTAGAAAAGGCTTCAAGTATAAGATATTATAAAGTAGAAGAACAAACACAATTGTAGAGCATATTCAAAAAAGTAGTAACAAGTTTCAGTCTTTCAGATACAACCAAGAATTATCAAGAATATCCTGTTCCCCGTCAATCCCTGCAACATTTTCATTCACTTCCAACCTCCCTCTCCAGCCCTAAAATAAGGGTCAGGACACAAATCAAACAAGTTTCCGCATGTTCAAACTATTCAACAGATTACCTATGGCCTATCAATGTGATACCAGCAGATGCTAGTACAGTTTGGCAAACATGCAAATCCAACTTAACATAATTATAAGCTAAATCAAAGTTTAAAGAAAGACACATTATAGATCTTATATCTGCAAGCCATGATCCATCACCAGACCAATTAAAAGAAAACATTCAAAACTAAATAGGGGGACTTGAAGAAAATGACAAAGCAGGGTAAGACCAATTCAACACTGGGAAGTACAACTTACATTGGCTTAAAGAAGCATGTGAAAGAACTAACTGCACCCAGAACATTACACAAACAGGTAAACTACATCACAGTTGGGAAAATAATAGACAGAGCAAAAGAGAATTAACAAGAAATATTCGAAATACATAAACATTTCCCCAATCACCCACAAGATACCCATCATTTTGACCTAACCGGATTAATTAATGATGCAAAACATAATTGTGAAACACACAAGAACCGCGAATTGAGTAATCAAACCCAAAAAAAGACGAACCCTTTTCATCATACCTTGAGGTCCACGAGGCGGCCTTTTGCTCTGTGATTTTCTTGTGGAAACCTCACCCCACTGATCCTCACCCCTCTGCACTCTCCTCCTGTACTCCATAATCGCCCAACCAAACCATCAACCACCCAAAACCTAGTGAACCAAGAAAGGGTATTGGAGAATTCCCCTAAGAGCGAACCGGCCTGTATTATTCCAAGAAAATTAAGACCCAAACTACCAGTACAGAAACCGTGGCTCTCTCTCGAGTAAAACCCAAAAAAAAAAAAAAGAGGAATTTTTGGAGTGAAAGTAGAACAGAAGTTCCGTTCTTTTGTCGTCTGAACTGATCCGAATGTAGTGTGATCGCTCGCAGCGGAATAAGAACCGATAAAAATTACTAAAAAAAATAAAATAAAAGGAGAAAATTAAAAAGTAAAGGAAAAAAAAACGATTAGGAGTGTTGTGGTTATGCTTTTCTTTGTGCGTGTGTGCGTACTTGAGGAAAACATGGGACGAAGAAAAATCTAAAAGTGGATCACTGTTGTTGTGTTGACGGTACTTTACAAAGCTACATTTTAAAGCAAGAACAGAAGCATTTTTTATTTTCCTTCTTGGCCCCCGTTTTCGATCAAATTACGGTGGTTGCCCTCATCTGCCACGCCGTAGGTTGACTAGTATGCTCACAGGAACGAAACGCGCAATCAAACACCTTTTCGGCGCCAACTCGACGCGTGTGAGTACGCTCTCAATTTTTGCTTGAATCATAACCACAACGGAGAAAGAATTTTAAATTGAATTTTCAACATGAGAATGTTTTGCAAAGCGGATGAAAGAAGGTTATGTAATATTTTCCAAATAATATATATTATATATTATACACTAAGGTCTTAATTAAATTGTGTAAGTTGACTAGATTTATTAAGTGGGCTGATTGGACTGAATAACTAGAAGTTTTATTCAAACTCTGTGCCTAATATAAACTTGGATTGATGTTATACAACATTATTGATTAGATAGCACATACATACAAATACGGTACTCATACTACTCAGAGAAATCTCAATTGTGGCAAATAATATGGTCTACCGTTAAGAAGCAACACAAGAGGAACCTCAATTGTGGTTGGAGATCAACACGGCTACGCTTCCGCTCTTATACGAGGTCAGATCTCTCGTATACTATTGTTCAGTATAGTTAGATTATTCACATTTGGTATCAGAGCCTTCATAATCTCTGCCTGGTTGATTGTTATTGCCTAAAAATCAACATTAATTTCATATACATTAAGTGTTTTTTTTTTTTTTTTTTTTTTTTTTGGTATATGCTTTGGTTTACAATTACATTCATCTTAATTCTTCAAAATATGCATACATAATATGTCTATTTGGTTTTGATATAATTAAGCAAACTGTTATGTATATTATGAAATTATTTGTAATTGTTTTTTCATTCGGATAAAATTAATTGTGGTTGTTTTTTTGAAAACAGTAAGCACATAATTAATTACCATTGATTTTGGGATGTTGGAATTATTTTTTCTCTGATTGCTTGAGTTTGCCGGAGAATTGTCGGGATGGTTATCTTTGGTTTCAGGCGTTGGATCTTGGGCGGAAAAATGGAGGTCAGGGCACTGGTTCCGAGCGCACCTCGTCGGCGACCTCGGAGTTGGTTTCGGACGCCGCCGGTGCACCATTTTCCGGCAGCCACCATTAGTTCATGGTTTCAGCATGAGGAGACGACTGTGATTTTGCTTAAAGGCCACGATGGCTGCAATAAGCGTTGCGTGCGTCGCCGTGTTTTCGTTCGCGCTTTTCGGGTGATGACGAGACTTGCAGTTGCGGCGACGCACGATGGGCAACGTCGCGGCTGAGGGCGGTAGGCGGCGGACGTCGGCGCTGCGAAGAGGAGAATCGACGATGGTGAAACTAGATTCCCGGCGACGTCAATCATAACGGAAAGCACCCCGCCCTTTCAACCATGACAACGCTTCCTTACATGCGCCGCCAACGATTCCGTCATGAGGGGTGATAGGCAATCCGACAACTGAGAAATGAAGGCTGCAATGAAATTGCCGTCGTTAAGTACAAGTTAGTTTGGCGTAAATCAAAGTTGTCTTAATGACTATTATAAGAGTATAAGTGCATGAGTGAGTAAAAGGCAACCCATGAAGTGGGCAGGGAAGCCTATTTTTATTCTACAAGTGGCATCTTCAATAATAATGAGTTTTGCGTGATTTCTGAGAATTTGAGGTGTCAATTAGGAGAGAGAAAATGAAAAAAAATTAGGAGAGAGAGAATGAAAAAAAGAGAGAGAGAGAAGAACAAAAAAAAAAAAAAAGAATTTGACAATTTTTTTAAAAAAAAAACAAATAAACAACAGTCCATTATGTGCGCGATAATTGCGCGCCACATGTAAATTGTCTCTGTTTTTTTTTTTTTTGAGTTCTACCACATGTACTCCCTAATTTTACTCTCTGATGTGACAGATTCTGATAAGTTATTTTTTTATGTGGGTCACAATACAAATGTCTACATCAAATTTTGTGTGTGAAAATACAAAATAGGAGTACATGTAACATTTTTTTTTCTCTTATCTCACACATTGAGAGACCCACAAAAAATCAACTCAAAAAATAATCACCACATTTATTAAAAAATCAAACATCAATTTTTACTATTTTAAAAACCATGTAAAAGTCCTATTGGAAATGCCCTTAACCAAAGATATGATAATTGGTGGCAAGAGAATTTTACTTGGCATGTTTTCATTAAGGAGGACGGTAGCCGTCACGTAAAGCAACACGCATGCCTTATCACCGATTCACCGGCATGTCAATCCTAACTCCTAAGTCCCAACTACTTGGTAGTCCGACAATCCTATAGGTCCTCACGATTGACTAATCAAGGAATGAAGAATGATAAATCTGATAACTCTTTCTAGGTTCGTTAGCCCTCTGGGCTTGCTCTATTGGGCTTTATTGTGCATGTTATTGTTGTTGTATAAAGTTATAAACCCATTAAATTAAATACATAATGACCCTGTTTGGTAAAAAATTGGCCTATAAGTCAATTTTGACTTATTTGATCACTATTTTTTTTTTTGAAAATTATTTGATCACTATTGATTGTTTAATTTAGTTAAAATATCAATATAAATGTTTGATTAATTAACTTTTTGCAACTCCAAAAGGCTAAAATTCAAAAAGCTACTCTAAGTAACTTTTTCAATTAGCTTTTTGAGAAAAGAAATTATACCAAACAGCTATCAGCTAACAGCTAATTTACCAAACACTTTTCTACAATCAGTTAATATTATCAACTATTCATATCCTCTAATTAACACAATCAGCTAACAGCTATCAACTATCAGCAAACAGCCATTTTTCCAAACAGGGCCAATATATTTCATGATTTATTGATTATAATAATAAAAATAGTATTTGCATCAATTTTATTAAATACCCTAAGGGAAAAATGACATTTTTAAGGGGGAAATTGAGATAGCATAAGGACATGCAGTCTCAAGGCAATTATTATATTATTGATCACATTGTATTATGGACCCTTGTAGGCTAGTAATCTAGTATGAAACGACCTTTAGATTATGTGTATGTAGTTAATATATTATGTACTTTTAATTAATAAATTGTGTCTACTACAATTATCATATTATGTGCTTGAAGCTAAGTTAATAAATTATATACCCGTGAGTCCTGTGATTAACATAATATGTATTTTCAATTTATTTATAAGTACATAATATGTTAACTGCATGCACATAATTTAAATGTCATTGTTGAACCAAAATACACAATACAAGGTGAACTCTGATGTATCGTATAATTTGTCGTCTTATGGAGGTTGGGATGATGTGTCTCACATAATTACTAATGAAAATTCGGGCCAATATATAATGTAGTTAGCTTTTATATGGTATATAATTAGCTAGGGTATAGGTTCGTATCAACATGCATACATGTGTATATGTAGTGTTTAGATAATTTTAACTTAATAATAATTTTGAATTGATGAATAATGTGTATATATTTTAATAATATTTCTCATTTGAAAATTTAGTTTTATTTATTTTAATTTTTTAATATTAAAACTCACTTTTTAAAATTAAAATGAGTTAATACTAAATTCAGTATTCGACTATAATGAACTTTTTTTAAATTTAATTAGTCCTAAACAATTTTTTTTTTTTTTTCATACTTACAATCCATTGTCTTCACAAGGTTTGGGCCCACACAACAGTGAAATACATTACTATTCATGATTGGTAAGAAGGAGAGTGATGTTTTGAGTTATATCAAAGATAGAAATCCTAGTGTATACAAAGCTAGAGTTCTAGGTTTTTATCTCGGTGGGGAAGGTGGTATGTCACTTATTGAAGGCTAGAGTACGTGCTTTGATATAGTGGTGTAGGTGGGTGTTGATGTGTATATCAAAAAAGCTAGGGGGTATGTATGAGACTTAGGATATATATTGCAAGATTTTAGCTATGCTAGGTAAATGAGCTTGGAAGGCTCCACAAGGTAAGTGAGTGTACTAAGAAGTAAAAATTCTAATCCCCAAGCTAATTGGTGGATGTCTCTATTAATAGTGTTGGGGTAAGGAATACCCATCATAATCTTATTAGAGTTACCGACAAGTTTGAAGTGGCAGAATGCTACTGATGGCTTAGGTCAATCATGACACGTGATGAACACTAATGTGATGTCTAAAGTAATAGTGACAAAAGTGACTTATTTGTCAACGACATCTAATTCAATAACTATTCTCAGGAAACTCTCAGATTTAGCCCTCAAGTTAGGGTATCAATAGGCTTATTGTATAATCCATCAATATTTATTTTATTATTAGTTGTAGTAAAATGTATATTTATATAATTATATGAATCATATTGTATTATATGTAATCTTTTTTTTTTTTTTTTTTTTCGCCCAATTAATGGAGTTCGCGTGGTGAGCGCATACATTCCCGAATGTAAATATTTCTTAATTCTTCTATTATATTACTCTTTATTTTCCAATGCGTTAAACCATCAATTGATCAATTATTTTAGAGAGTAACTTTTTTAATTTTCTATTTTCTTTTATTACCATTCAATCAAGCTACATGACGTAAATATATGTTTCTGAGTGCAGAAATAATATTTTACTATTTATATGGTCCCAAAGGAACAAATTAAAAAATAGATTAGCATGCATAATAGCATACCTATAATTAATACAAGCACAAGAGCGGAATGATTGCATTGACTGTAGCTTTCTGCGCTCAAATCCATGCTTAGATATCCATCCAATGATTATTAGAGTTACCCTATTTGTTTAATAATTACATACGGAATTTGTTATACCCCCTTGAGTCTTTAGTTCAATGATATATATGTTATGTTCTGGTCCCCTCTTTGAGAGTTGAGATCAAAGTTTGTTGTTTCAAATTTACATATGCATTGTGTGTGTGGGGGTCTAACGTTGTGACACAATTTCAGTGATGAATGTACAGTGACACTACAACATCTGACATGGAT